TAATAATAATATATATGTGAGATAACATTAAGTGGTCTTGCTATGCAAGAACACTTAATAATAATATATATGTGAGATAACATTAAGTGGTCTTGCTATGCAAGTACACTTAATAATAATATATATGTGAGATAACATTAAGTGGTCTTGCTATGCAAGAACACTTAATTATTATTATTTAAATAGGCGCCATCAGATTCCGTAACGCTGTATAATGGGTGGACTAACAGACATGTAATTGTAACCAGACAGCTGGACGTATAGGAACAGAGGGGTGGAGGGCCCTGCTCAATGAGCTTACATGCTAGAGGGAGTTGGGTATTTTGACACAAAGGGTAAAAGTAGAGGTATGAAGTAGGTTGTTAGAAAAGTATTCACTCAGGGCTTAGTAGGTAATTTTTGACAGATGCAGGAGTGGAGTCATGGGGGTGGGGGATAAAAACCTGCTAACAGTTTAATTGATATGCTTTCTTGAAGAAGTGAGTTTTCAATGAATTTTTTGAATGAGTGGAGACTAGGTGAAAGTCTTATGTAGAAGGGAAGGGAGTTCCACCAAAGAGGTGCAGCCCTGGAGAAATCATGGAAGCGAGCATCAGAGGTGGGAGTACGGACAGAGGATAGACGTAGGTCTTTGACAGATCGTAGGGGCCTCGACGGGACATACTTGTGTATTAGGGAAGATAGGTAGGTTGGAGCAGCATTATGTAGGGACTTGTAAGCAAGCACCAGAATTTTTAATTAAGCCCTATATCTAACTGGAAGCCAATGCAGGGACTGACAGAGCGGGGAGGCGTGGGATGTTGCGAGCAGACAGGAAAACGAGCCTCATTATAAATTGCAGAGGTGCAATCTGGGGACACGTAGGACCACTGAGAAGGAGATTGCATTCCCATCAGCTCCCCTGTCTAAATCTCGTGGCTAGTGTGCCGCGCGGAGCGTTGCCAGTGTAACCTGTGGCAATGTTTTGGTGATCACGGGACTCGCGAGATTTAGACAGGGGAGTTCAAGGGAGCTGCTGGGAAGGTAAGTAAGAGCTTGCTGTGGGCCCTCCAGGACCTGGTCTGTGTTATCGGCAATATCGTTATCTCTATAGGCCGATACCGATATTGCCGAAAATTCAGAATATCAGCCGATAATATCGGCCAGACCGATAATCAGCCAATCCTTAATCTAAACTAATATCTATTTATATTGTTCTATTTTCTGCAAAGGGTATTTGAAGCACTTTACAATCTCAAAATTAACCGAATTGACAACTAACGAATAGACATCAGTTACCTTTATCTTAATCGGTGGTAGGAGGAGGAAATTTTAATTGTGTCTGCAGAGTAAATGCCACCTTAAGGTTCCACAGGAACGTTGTAGCCCTAGAGAAGTCTTGAAGGAGAGCATCAGAGGTTGGGGTACGGACAGAGGATAGACTTAGGTCTTCGGAAGAGTGAAGGGGCATAGACAGGACATCCTTGTTTGTGTATTAGGGAGGATATGTATGTTGGAGCAGCATTATGTAGAGTTTTGTAAGCAAGTACCAGAATTTTACATTAAGCCCTATATCTAATAGGTGGCCAATGTAGGGATACACAGAGGGAGGAGGTGCGGGCGGACAGGAAGGTGAAACTCACCGCTGCATTCATTATAGACTGTAATGGGGAAAGTTGGGAACGCGTAAGATCACTAAGAAGCAGATTTCAATAGTCAAGGTGAGAGAGAACAGCATGTCTGGCCCGCTATGTTTTTGAGATGGAATTGGCAGGATTTGGCGATTGACTGGACATGAGGGGTAAAGGAGAGATCGGAGTGAAAGAGAACACACAGGCAGCGAGCCTGCAAAGATGTAATGATAGCGCCGTTGACTTGGAGGGAGACAGACACGGGAGTAACAACACTTAAGGGATTAAAGACTATTCGTTTTGTTTTGGACAGGTTACGTTTAAGAAAGTGAGCAGCCATCCAATAGCAGAAAGGCAGTCAGAAACACGAGTCAAGAGGGGCAGAAAAAGATCAGGAGATTACAGATAGATTTGCGTGTCATTCGCAGAAATGATATTGGAAGAAAAAGGAGCTGATGAGTTTACCAAGGGAGGCAGTATAGATCGAGAACAGTAGGGGACCAAGGACAGAACCTTGGGGAACACCAACAGAGAGGGGATGGGGAGAAGATGCAGAGCCTGAAAAGAAACACTGAAAGAGTGCTCGGAGGTGTAGGAGGAGTACCAGGAGAGAGCAGTATCCGTAGACCGAGATTACAGAGGATGAGAAGAAGCTGTTGATGATCAACTCAGTCAAAAGCAGCAGATAGGTTAAGGAGAATTAGCTTAGAATAGTGACCGTGAGATTTAGCAACAATTAGATCATTGGCTACTTTGGTCACATCTGTTTCGACAGAGTAATGAGTGCAGAATCCAAACTGGAGAGTTGGATTTGAGTAAGCTTGTCAATCTCACAAACACAACTCTCTCAAGGATCTTGGAGGCAAATGGTAGTAGTGAGAAAGGGCGTTAGTTGGATGGGGAGTTAGAGTCAAGTTTGGGCTTTTTCAGAATCGGTATTACAGTTGCATGTTTGATTACTATAACTATATTTACCATACCAGTGATTTGCTTACCTCCTCTTTACTCTTATTCCTGTCTGTATGTACTTGAGATTCATGTTTTATTCTATTTATTATCATCTTGACTAGCTTTCAGTGAGTTTTGAATGGTCACCTTGGTTTACTTCACCAACATAAATATCCAGCTTAGGTTTGCCTCCCATACGACCCGTCTGCTCTTTCATAAATTAGTTCTTACAATCAAGTCGGTCCTGTGCTTTCAGTAGCTGCCATGCATTGCCTAACACCACAATGCTAAAGTGTGTGCTTTTGCCAGCAACGTGCTCAGTAACATGTGCTTCAGTTGACAGTGCGTGTTTATTCATTATTTGTAATAGTGCTGCAGAATATTTTATCACTTTGTAGATAAAACATAGCAGTAATATACACACACATTTTATGCTTTAGTTCCTTGTGTGTTGAGATAAAGAAAATAACACTTCCTGCTCAAGAAATATTGATTATTGAGATACAATCTGCGGTTATTGCTGTGTATTCTAACTCTTAGAGAAAAAGGAAATTGAATTTGGGAAAATATCTTTTTTTGAAAAATAGTTTTCGATCCTGGCCTTTGTCTATATGCCGATAGGCTTTGTATTATTATGGCACATAATTTTTAGTTGCTGCCAAAGCAGATTTCTGCCCCACCCCCCCTCTTTATAAGTAATGTGATAAGTCTCATTTCTTATTGCACAAATCCGGAAACCTTAGTGAATCATCGTAAAAATAACCTATATTGTTTTACATGGACTCCCTGCCTATAAACTCCATAGTTTGTTTAATATCTATGAGTCTATCTGCGTAGTTTCCCCTGGGCCAGCCAAGTCTAACCAGTTATCACAAGCAATTCCATTTCCCTTTATTGTTGCTGATGTGTAAATTTTTCCTTTTCGTACAGGTGTTTGCTTAAATTTTTTATGTATAATTGCATTTGGCCACACATTAATGCTGATTTGTGAATGTCCTAGTGGACCAACTTTTGTTGGAAAAAACATTACAAACTTTTGCAAAGGTTTATGAATTATTTTTAAATGAGCTTTCATGATAATTATTTTATTTTATAATGAAAGTATTGGTGAGATTATTTTGTGTTCGTAGCAACTAGGCTAAAAGTAAGAAAAGTTTTAGTTGGAAAAAAACAAATCTCTTTTTTTGCTACCTTGTTAAATCCTTTATGTACAAAAGAAACAGTATTTTATGTCCTGATCACTCTCACAACAGGTGGCTGCACTGATGCACCAAAGGCCAAGACTGGACATTTCCTGCCATAGCCACCCTGGCAAATTTACCTCTATATCTCTTAGTTATACAGTATATAGAATAGGTGTAGATTGTAGATTGTAGAGGAGAACAATAGGCCAGCATTTATGGAAAATAAAGAAAAGAAGCTTAGTTTTCAGGTACAAGAAATGTATAATAATAGGTATATAATTGTAAATGTTAGATAGCTACACTAATAGTGAAGGATCATCTCCCCCATTTAAGCTGTATATGTACAAAGCACATTAAAAGAATATTTTTTCTTTATTGTTTTTTTAAAAGTAAATTTACTGAAGAATAATACAAATGGTGGCATGTTTGATGCAATATATCCAGTGGTGAAGCTTGTAAAGACTAATAGATTAGATGCGTTTCATTCAGTTTTCACACACACACACAAAATTAATAAATACATTTAAAGTTTACTTATGCATATTACTTTATGCAGGAAAATGAACTGTTATCTAGTTATTATCTCCACGTTTGTGAATCACCTTCTCAATTCAATATTAAAAGAACACTCCAAGCACCATAACCACTACAGCTCACTATAGTGGTTACGGTGCCAGGAGTGCCCTGGTACCCATCCTTCCATTGTAAGTAGTACAATCTATTTAAAATGGTGTGACCTTGTTACTGAGGTCTACTTGGTGCTTTCCACACCTCTACTACAGCTACAGGAGAGCCAAACCTTCCTTTTGCTCTTACTTCACTCTCTTCATTCAAATTCAAGCCAGTGCACCAGGCTTAGCTCAGACAGATTCTAGCTCTTTGGTAGCTGTTGTGGAGGCAAGGAGTAGCACTTCAGGTAAGAAGTCAAACCACTCTAAAGCAGATTGACTACGTGCAATCATAGGCACCAGTGCATTTCTGGAACAATAACCACTACAGGATTTTGTAGTGGTTATGGGGCTTGGAATGTTCCTTTAACCCCATTCAGCCTTTTAACAGGCATGCCATATATGATGTGGGCATGTTCTTTACCAACCATGATAATTCTTGTAGAAGGAATGTCTTGGAAAGTGGAGGAAGCTTTTCCTACCATTTTTTTTAATGCCTCTTTAAATATGCATTTAGAAATAAATGGAATCAAGAAGAATCTGCTAATGTGTTAAATCTAGAACAAGAGGTCAATATTTCAGTGGTGGGTAAACTGGATAGCTGTGTGTGTGAGCAGTCATCTTTTCAGCCTACATGTGGATTGCCAAATCTGCAGGCTGGTTAGATGGTTGTCATACATCCACCTGACACCAGCTGTGATCTCCGAATGTTGTGAAGTGAACGGCAGCAAAATAGGAGAGCCTACACAATAGATTAAACTGAATTTAATGTGCTTTGGGGATAGGTTGGATAAACATGAAATGTGATGAATTTTTTTTTCCTTCAATTTAATGTACTTTTTTGTGCAGTCTATTTAAATGACTATGATATGGATGGATCCCAAGATATTTTAAATTGACTCACCTATTGGCACATGTTAGTGTGCGGGCAAGTGATGCTGGTTTTGTCTTTTAAAATTTTCAGAACAGCTACTTGAAAAAGGGTCATATTGTCAACCTGTTATTGCTAGAGTACTTAAACTGGGTTATCAACAGAATAGAATATGGGCAATGGATCAATGCAATTACTTTAGCTCTCTATAAAAGCATCTTAATTAAAGCATTATACTATCAGTGACTGTAAAAGGGTGTTAGAAAACCTATCTTTATTTATGCTTTTATATGATTTTTTTAGGTGTCCATGTCTCTTTGCATACACAACAAATGTGACAATATGTATGACCTATAAAAAAAAAAATATATATATATATATATATTTTTTGCTATATGTAATCTGTACTCTTCATCCTGTAAAAGCATATCCAGCTGTGTTCTATCAATATAATTTTTAGAAATGTGCTTTAATGGTGCATGTATTAGGTGTATGCTATAAAATGAAAAGGATGGATTGTGTAACAGAGAACATGCATGATTGATGGGGCCAATGAAAAAGCATTGTCAATATGTAAAGTTTTCCGTTTTGAAGGGATGACTCACACACAGTGACGTCAGGACTGTGGGGTGAAACAGGTCAGCATTGAGTCTATGAAGGTTCTTATAGGACCTTAAGTTCCTATGGGACCTACGCCCATAGGTACTTAAGATGTTCTCCACACCACCGAAAAAGAATTGGTTACGAAGTAATTCCAACTTTTGAGTGGATTCCAGAAAAGTTCATTGCCTCTGATTTATTGGCATTCAGCATTCAGCTTATACTTGCTCGATTCTCTGTATATGCGAATTTCACTGAGAAAATTTTTGTTGCAGAGAAGGGCAAATATAATTTTACATTTATTAGTACAATATATACTGTCACTTTGTTTCTGTTTATGCAGCCCTAGCCACACCTCCCCTGGCTATGATTGACAGAGCCTGCACGAAAAAAAAAACTGGTTTCACTTTCAAACAGATGTAATTTACCTTAAATAATTGTATCTCAATCTCTAAATTGAACTTTAATCACATAAAGGAGGCTCTTGCAGGGTCTAGCAAGCTATTAACATAGCAGGGGTAAGAAAATCTTAATTAAACAGAACCTGCAATAAAGAAAGCTCTTTACAGGAAGTGTTTATGGAAGACTGTGCAAGTCACATGGAGGGAGGTGTGACTGGGGTTCATAAACAAAGGGATTTAACTCCTAAATGGCACAGGATTGAGCAGTGAGGCTGCAGGGACATGTTCTATACACCAAAACTGCTTCATTAAGCTAAAGTTGTTCAGGTGACTATAGTGTCCGTTTAAGCTGTAGTTGTTCTGGTGACTATAGTGTCCCTTTAAATATAAATACATATCACAGACATCCTAATGTGAGTAATGTTGACCCACTTTCTCTACTCTTTGTGTGCTTTGCCATATTCAACTGTTGTATACCAATAGTTCTTAGTAAGCTTTATATTAACTCTGGTTGTTGTGAAACTTGTATATTAATACAGGTTTTAACGATATTGATAATTTGAAAATGTAAGTTGGGTATTAGACATTTATAATTTAGTTCTGTATAAACACTGAACATTTCAATTATAACTTTTTTCTCCTAACCCGTAGTTAGTGTGAGGACATCCTTTAACAAAAGAAAAGAAAATGTAGACATTTTGTTCCTGTCTGCTTTCATTCCCAGTGTGTCACTAAGTATTTAAAGCTGTGTACCATAGAGCTAAGGGAACATTTTACAATGCAGATAGAGAGCTACATTAAATGCAAAACATTACCTGTTGTGTGCCCCTTCCTGCTTGTAAAACGGTTCTGCTTCCTTGCTTTTATAGCCTATGGCCCCAGCCTGCTATTCTGAATGAAATAACACTCATCCCTTGAATAGCTGTACCTCAATGGGAGAAACAACCAATATCACAACAAATAATTTTTTTTCATCCACATGTTATTAAACAATTTTTTTTATTTTTTTATTATAAAGCCCTTTTTTCCCCTCTCTGTCTAAATAGACATCTACTTGTCCAAAGGACTAAAGACTTGACCTGACCCACAAAATAATTTCAGGCCTCGAGCTCTGGACATAGACATGTTTATTCACCAAACTCTGACTCAGACAAGCCATGTGGAACTGTTTCTCATACTGGCTTTCAGCCATAGCCGGTCAAAACTTATATCGGGGGTTGTTTCCACTATGATCCTTGGATCAGGGGACAAGCTATCCTGGGATGCCATATTTGCGGGGGTTCCTAAATGTTCTTTGTGTGGTTTTTTTTTGTGTCAGCCGCCTATGTGTCTGGGAGTTAATTAATTTAGCAGTGTTTAATCAGATCACCTCCCAGACACAGAGGTGCATGGGCGAGTTTACTATTGGTCTTGTTACCGACCCCATGCTGTGGGTCTGGGTATAAATTTGTGTGTGAGTCTATAATAAAGGATCCTTTTTTTCACCCTTCACCAAGTCTTGACTGATGTTTGGGTGGATATTCTATCATCACTGAAGTCTTTGCTGGATCAGAAGGCTGTTTAACAGATATACTCAGCTGGAGTATCAGGGTTCCGCCACATTGGGCGATAGGAATTTCATACCCTTGTATGTGTACAGAGCAATCCAGTGCCCCTGGGGGTACGCGAAAGCAATCTGCAATAGCGGCTGTGCCTGCCGCCACGCAGGTTGGTAATCGCAAAGTTACTGGTCCATCGGGTGGCCCATGCACTCAGGTGTTTTAATAGCGCGACCGGGCCCCTTCTAACCTGCTCGGAGAGCTGGGAGGAAGTGAGTGAGGCGGGCACTTCCTCCAAGCTCAAAGAGAACCTGGCGCACGGGAGCTGCGAGAGGGAGGGTGAGGAGCAACAAGACCCTCACACCCATCAGCCCAAGCCATGGAAGCCACCCTCTAGCACCTTGAAGTTAAGAAACTGAAGGGTGGCTAGAATTTTAGCTTGTATGTCTGTGTGTATGTATCAGTTTGTGTGTCTGTATGTGTCAGTGTGTGTGTGTGTGTATATCTGTATGTCTGTCAATGTGTGTCAGTATGTGTATCTGTATGTGAGTATGTCATTTGGATCTGTTTGTCTGTACATCTGTATGTGTCAGTGTGTGTATCAGTGTCTGTGCAACTGTATGTGTGTCTGTGCATTTGCATGTGTTTCATTGTTTGTAAATGTGTGTATGTGTACCTACATGTATGTCTGTATATGCATGTGTGTCAGTGTTTGTGTCTGTGTGTCTATGTATCTGCAGGTGTGTCAGTGTGTGTATCTGTATCTGTGTGCGTGTGTCATTGTTTGTATCTCTGTGGCAGTGTTTGTATCTGTGTGTCTGCACATCTCTGTGTGGCAGTTGATGCATCTTTATGTGAGTCTGTGTGTGTGTGTATCTGTATGTGTGGCAGTGTTTGTATCTGTATGTGTGGCAGTGTTTGTATTTGTGTGTCTCAGAATATGTATTAATGTGTTTGTGCAACTGTATGTGTGGCAGTGTTTGAATCTGTGTATTTGTATGTGTTTGTATCTGTATCGGCACATATGTCGGTGTGTGTATCAGTGTTTGTATCTGTGTACCTGCATATTTGTCAGTATGTGTATCAGTGTGTCTGTGCATCTGTATGTGTCAGCGTATGTATCTGCATGTGTTTGGTGTTGGTATCTCTATCTGTGTGAGTGTCATTACTTGGATCTTTGTGTCTGTACATCTGTATGTGTGTCAGTGTGTATCTGTGCAACTGTATGTGTGTCACTGTATCTATGTTTCTGTCCATCAGTATAGTTATTTGTATTTGTGTCTTGCATGTGTGTCAGTGTGTATATCTGTATCTCTGTGAGTCTGTCTTTGTGTGATATCAGTGTCTTTGCATGATGTGTGTCTGTATCTGTATTGGTATTTGTATGTGTATCTGCGCATGTGTCAGTGTATGTGTCTGTGTATCTGCATTTGTGTCAGTGTGTTTATCTGCACAGTGAGAAGCAGCGAGAGCCTGGGGCAGAGGAGGAGCAGAAAAACAGGGAAGTCTGGGGCAGAGGAGAAGCAGAGGGGGTATGGAGCAGAGGAGAAGCAGACGTAGCTTGTAGCAGAAAAACAGATGAGTCTGGGGCAGAGAAAAGCATATACATTTGAAATAACAGCAACTTTATTAATAACAAACATTTTGCTAATATGAAGGGTACAATTTATAGAAATGGGCTGCTCAAAGGGTACTCAAGTGAATAAAGGTTGGGAACCACTGATCTAGAGGAATGTGAAGTCTCAATTAGTACAAAGCTGCCCAATGCCTGTTGGTGTATGAGGTAATTCCCTGTCTAGAGGCCAGCCTTTTAGATTGATGAGCTGACACATAACGTTTAGTAGTTGTGCATTTGGAATGAAGTGGCCTTTGTGTATAAAGAAACAGGCTCCAAGGGGGGTGTGGGTACATGTTGTAGAACTTTGCATGTACACAGCATCCACTTGATTATTCAGACATTTCACTAAGTAGGTGGGATTCCAGCACTTGACAGATGAAGGAAATCATTCTAGGACTCTTGTCCAAATATCTTATTCTGCAAGATCAGAAATATTCTTGTATTCTTTCTAGAAAGCAAATGTATTTTGTTCATACTTTATTGTAATATTGCGTGTATTAAAGTATGTACAAATTTTGTGTTCACACATTCTTACCTCTCCAAACTCATGATATTGAACCATTAGTGTAAAATAAATATGGCCACTATGTAGAACTTAAAGCGGCACTGTCATGCCGAATCCCGGTTTTTTTTTTTAACCCCCCTCCCGCCACCACTACATCCAATT